GCAGTTCAGCTGTTCAAATCTCACCGACTCAGGGTTGACTCAGCCTTCCATCCAGGTGGGTAAAATGAGGACCTTGTTGTTGGGGGCAATATATGCTGACTCTGTAAACCGCTTAGAGAGGGCTGAAAGCCCTATGAAGCGGTATATAAGTCTAACTGCTATTGCTAACTGCTATTAGGAGAACTGTCCCACACAAATTGGCTTTTTTCTGCAGCCCAATTTCCCTAAACACTGGAACAAGCCAGTGGTGGGATTCAAAATTATTTACCACCAGTTTTACTCCCTGTGTTTCACCACCTCTAAATAACAACGCTCCTTTCTCCCCAGGTGTAGCCGAACAGTTTGCCATCGCCGAGGCCAAACTCAGAGCTTGGTCATCGGTGGAGGGGGATGATTCCAACGACGAGTCTTACGACGAAGATTTCCCCACTTCCGGTGAAACTGCCCAGGCAGCTGGTAAGTGAGGACAGCTGGCATATCTGCTGGGTTGAAAGTCAACATGAGGCTGAACACCAGTGGTGGGTTGCAGGCAGTACGCCCTCGTACGGGCGTCCCGGAGCCTGCCCGGAGCACTGGGTACCGTTCCGGTACGGTGCTCCAGAGGGCCTACCCACACACCCACCCAAGCTCCTTACCTGTCCTTTAAGCCTTTGGCACTTCCGAGCAGCTGGAGCGTCGTGGAGGCTTGCAGAAGCATGGCAGGCAAGTACGGCATCCATGTGGGTGACGCCGGGGCCGATCCGGAACCTACCACTGCTGAACATCCAACCAGGTAGAAAAGAAAGAAATAACCGACCCACTTACTTCATTCCAAAGTTTTAGATCTGAATGCAATACCAGCACACTGTAGGTTGTAGGTGTCAACTCCATTTCATTGAGGGCCACATCAACATTACTGTTGCTTTCAAAGGGCTGGTTGCATGTAAGACTATGTATCATATTAGTGTTCTGACCGAAGGATACTGTAAAATTTCCACTCCCTCTCCACTCCAGGGGAAGGATACTGCAAAATCTCCATTCCCTCCCCACTCCAGTGGAAGGATACTGTAAAATTTCCATTCCCTCTCCACTCCAGTGGAAGGATACTATAAAATCTCCATTCCCTCCTCACTCCAGGGGAAGGATACTGCAAAATCTNGCTATTGCTACAGGTAGTCCTCGGCTTGCGACCGCAATTGACTCCAAAATTTATGTTGTTAAGTGAGACATTAATTAAATTGAATTTTGCCCCAGAGGGCTGCAGGAGCCTGTCGCAGCTGAAAACGGAGCCCAGAGTTTGAGTTTGACACCCCTGCTGTAAAAAGTCAGAGAGATGCCATTGGCCAAGTTGCAACCAGCTTCACGCCCCAAGGCTTGGGAACAGTTCCTGGTGAAATATTTCCATGTGCGCAGCCGTTTTCCCAAGTCACCTCAAACCAAGGTCCTTCCTGACAACTCAGGTCATACTGGTATTGCAGGCAGACGGCCCAATGACATGCCAGGACAATACAGATTTATCTGTCTTCAAGCTGTTCTGAGTCAGCTGCTCTATCTAGAGTCCTGGGGAAAGAGCGGAGGGTGTGTGTATGTGTGTGTGTGCTCAAACCTTTGCCAAGTGCAGTATATTTGTTGTCTTTTATTTTTATTTTTTGTGCTTTCCCGGGGCAGCTCCGTCTCTCTTCTGCTCCTCCTTTTCCTGCCCAGCCTGTCAAGTAGCAAATGAAGATTGATGCGTGGAGCTGATTCCCCAGTTACTCCCTTAATTAAAGGAGGGTAGTTTTTCAACTTCGTTGTCCTTCATTTAGCTGCCTGGAGTGGTGGTGGTGGGGAGAGGAGCAGGGGTGAAATCCAGCAGGTTCTGACAGGTTCTGGAGAACCGGTAGCAGAAATTTTGAGTAATTCGGAGAGCCTGTAGCAGAAATTTTGAGTAGTTTGGAGAACTGGTAATGGTAATATTGAGTAGTTTGGAGAACTGGTAGTGGAAATTTTGAGTAGTTCGGAGAACTGGTAGTGGAAGTTTTGAGTAGTTCGGAGAACCTGTAGCGAATGTTTTGAGTAGTTCGGAGAACTGGTAATGGAAATTTTAAGTAGTTCGGAGAACTGGTAGCAGAAATTTTGAGTAGTTCGGAGAATCGGTAGCGGAAATTTTGAGTAGTTCGGACAACCGGTAGCGGATGTTTTGAGTAGTTTGGAGAACCGGTAGCGGAAATTTTGAGTAGTTCGGACAACTGGCAAATGCCACCTCTGGCTGGTCCCAGAGTGAGGAGGGCATGGAGATTTTGCAGTATCCTTCTCCTGCCACGCCCACCAAGCCACGCCCACCATGCCACACCCACAGAACCGGTTGTAAACAAAATTGAATTTCACCACTGAACAATTGACTCAAGGCAAGGGAGAGCAAAAAGGAGGCAGAGGCAAAGGGAATGGGTGTCGGTCAAATTCTCTGCAGCCAGGAAACTTTTAAAGAAAGCTGTGGGAGGCTGAAGGTGGTGCTGGGTGGGGGGGGGGGCATCATCCCATCAATGGCCAAGGTGGGGGCTGGAGGCTAAAAGATAGGAAGAACAGTTGCAGGATTTGGGTATGTCTAGTATAGGAGCCTAGCAACTGGGACGCAGTGGCTCAGTGGCTGAGCTTGTCAATCAGAATGGTCGGCAGTTCGAATCCCTAGAGCTGCGTAACGGAGTGAGTTCCCGTTACTTGTCCCAGCTTCTGCCAACAGTTCGAAAGCACATAAAAATGCAAGTAGAAAAATAGGATCCACCTTTGGTGGGAAGGTAACAGCGTTCCGTGCGCCTTCGGTGTTGAGTCATGCCGGCCACATGACCACAGAGACATCTTCGGACAGCGCTGGCTCTTCGGCTTTGAAACGGAGATGAGCACCGCCCCCTAGAGTCGGGAACGACTAGCACATATGTGTGAGGGGAACCTTTACCTTTACTATGGTCTCACGACCGCATTTTAAGAAAACGAAAAATGCTGAAAAAAATGCTGAAAACCGGCGTTTACTTCCAGTTTTGATAAAAGCGACACATAGCAAACAGTGGGTTCACTTAACGACCATGGCGTACGCTTAACAACTGCCCACGGTCGCTGTATGACTGTAATGACTTAACAACCGCCGCGACAAAGCTTGTAAAATGAGGTCCATTGTGTGGGTGGGCCACTTTACAACTGTCACAAATTACAAACCTGATCAGCCGACTCCCTTACCGTTGTAAGTGGAGGACTCCCTCTCGGGTGCTTTGAGCCTCTACAAGATTGAAGGCCCCTGTTTTAACTTTTCAAAACACACACACACACACACACCCTCCAATGTTTGACTTGACCCACCACAAAGATGCTCTGGAGGCCACTAAGGAGGTGGGGGAGATGCTCCCCCATTGCTTGCCCTGAAAATAAGGCTTAATATTCCTGAAATCCCAGCTCTATCACCCCAGCTGGCCTGGAGGCCCCTCGCTTGGAGAAGAGAAGATTTCTCTCTCTGGGAGACGTTGTGGGATGTAATTTCTCAGGCCCCGAGCCTTTGCCTGGTTGGCTGGTTGATTTTGTTTATTTCTCCCGTGTTTTTATTCTTTTTGAACATATCCAACACACCTTCCTCCTTTTATTCTCCTCCTAATAACAATCCTATAAGGTGAGTTGGGTTGAGAGAGAGGGATTAACCTCTTACTTCCTTCTTTCTTTCCTTCCTTCCTTACTTCCTTTCCATCTTCCTTCCTTCCTTCCTTCTTTCCTTTCCATCTTCCTTCCTTCCTTGCGTCCTCCCTCCCTGCTTTCATCTTCCTTCCTTCCTTTCCATCTCTCTCCCTCGCTTTCATCTTCCTCCCTCCCTCTCTCCCTCCCTCCTTTTCATCTTCCTCCCTCCCTCTCCCTGCTTTCACCTTCCTTCTTTCCTTCCTTCCTCCTTTCCATCTTCCTTCCTTTTCATCTTCTTCCCTCCCTCTCTCCCTCCTTTTCATCTCCCTCCCTCCCTCCTTTTCATCTTCCTCCCTCCCCCCTGCTTTCACCTTCCTTCCTCCTCTCCATCTTACTTCCTTTTCATCTTCCTCCTTCCCTCCCTCTCTCCCTCCCTCGCTTTCATCTTCCTCCCTCCCTCCCCCCTGCTTTCACCTTCTTTCTTTCCTTCCTTCCGCCTTTCCATCTTCCTTCCTTGCTTGCTTCCTCCCTCTCTGCTTTCATCTTCCTTCCTTCCTTTCCATCTTTCTTCCTTTTCATCTTCCTCCCTCTCTCCCTCCTTTTCNACTAGAACTCACCATCTCCTGGTTTCTAGTCTGATGCATTAACTACTAAATCAAACCGGCTCTGAATGAGACTCAGTATTATCATTAAATCAGTTCAGGACTTTTGCATCCTGAATTAGGTTAGTTTAAACCTGGGTTAACATTTTGTGACTCAGATAGTAACGCCAGCCCACCCTACATGGGAGATCATGGTCTAATGCAGGATTTCTCCAACTTGGCAACTATAAAATATGCAGATTTTAACTCTTTAAATTTGCTGCGTTTTGAGAAACACTGAGCTAGTCGGTTATGCAAAGCCAGGTAACGGGGTAATTCAGTAATGCTTGCTGAGTGACTGCATTCACACAACATATTTAACCCACTCAGTTAAAGACCTAATGGCTGTGCATACACAAAATATGAAGTCTGGCAAATGTTAACCTTGTTTGTTTGAATTATATGTGTGTGAATATGATTCTTTGTTTTAGTCCACTCTCAATGTATTGTGTGAATCCAAAAAAAATCACTCTACATGAAGGCAAGGAACTCCCATATATTTTGAACACAGGAGATTTGCAACATATTGTTAATATAACAAAATATGTACTGTTTTTATTGCTTTCATGTAAGTTGGCACCAAAATGGCAAAACTCCACACCACCACTAGAGGAAAGCATAGAGTTAGTTTTAGGCAACTACTTCTGTCCCCTCTGGTTATCTGGAGTTTGGCACATAATGTAGATCAGAAATGGGAAGTTGGGCTTCTTGCTTATTACGCAGTTGGTACCAATATCTAGATTGCAAACCTCCAGACCACCACTAGAGGGCAGCATGGGATTAATTTTAGCCAACCACTTCTGCCACCTGCCGGCTATCTGGAGTTTTGCACATAGTGTAAATCAGAAACGGGAAGTTGGGTTTCTTGCTTATTATTGCTGTTGGCACCAAGATCTAGATTGCAAAACTCCAGACCACCACTAGACAGGAAGCCTATAATTAGTTTTAGGCAACTACTGCTGCCACCTGCTGGCTGACTAGAGTTTTGCAAATATTGCAAATAATGTAAATCAGAAATGGGAAAGATGGCCACTGTGGGAACAGAGCGGGAGATTTAGCAGCCCAGATCTGGTACAGCCAAGGTGGCACAGTGGTTAAATGCAGCACTGCAGGCTACTTCAGCTGACTGCAGTTCGGCTGTTCAAATCTCACCGGCTCAGGGTTGACTCA